TCTGCAGACACAAGTCTGCCATGTTGGAATAATTCGCGCAATTTCCGGGCCTCGAGGAACATGCAATACCGAGCAGGAAAGCCTTTCCAGATCCTACTTTAGCCCTGAGGAAATGTTTACAACTACCGACTCTTCAATGAGACAAGAAATGAAGATTACGTGAATAAAAAGAGGAGAACAATTCCGCGCACTCGATCGGTGGCCGCGCTATCTAACTTGCCGATAAGGGCGACGTTTCAGGGAGCGATAAAGTGGGCATGAAATCCCGAAACGAGCCGCGAGGGGATGGAAAAAAGGAATCGAAGGGGGAAGGAATCCGCCTTTTGAAAATGAACAAAGTGCTCGAGGCTCGGATTTATCGTTATGGAGGGGTGTAAACAATTTCGCGAGGACCAATCCGCGGAGCCCTCGACAATGACGTCTGCTCGTTCGCCTGTAAAAGCTTCGTCTGCTCGACCGTGAGAAGAGCCTTTGTTCATCGGCGGAATCCCTTTTTCTTTCTTTAAGTACGTCGGCCTTAGCTCGAACTCTATAGATACGGCTCCGCCTGGGCGAACAGCTTTTTCTGCAAAGAGACGCGAGGAGAACTCTAAGGACGGAGAAGGAGGGGAAAAAGGAAAAAGAAAAGGAGCACTCAAACTCCTCTTTCAGGCTCCTCGAACTCGAAACCCAACCTGGCACTTGTAGATGTCGCCTCGTGACTATTACCTTGTGACTATTAACTATGGAGCTTGCCTCGTAGATCTAACTTATCGTCGAAATTACTTCATGTCACGTTCTGCAATCTACAAATTTTTAGCTATTCCTTTTTTTTAAATAAAATTCTTATTTTTAAGAGGGTTCAATATCGCAAATGAAATTTCAGGCTCCTCGAACTCGAAACCCAACCTGGCACTTGTAGATGTCGCCTCGTGACTATTACCTTGTTACTATTAACTATGGAGCTTGCCTCGTAGATCTAACTTATCGTCGAAAATACTTCAGGTCACGTTCTGTAATCTACAAATTTTTAGCTATTTCTTTTTTTAAAAATGAAATTCTTATTTTTAAGAGGGTTTAATATCGCAAATGACACGTATAAACGCGGCTCGGTTAATTTCTTTCTCCGGAGAGTCGGGCAATGCAGTTGCAAGCTTTCCGTCGTCGGTCGATGATCCGATAAACGACGAGGCGTTAAAGCGATCCCCATTTGGAGCGAAGCGATCCCCCGGCTACGGGCCAGTTGCAACTGTGCACTTGCGGACAGCTTAGTCCGGCGCGACACGGCGATGCTTTAAAGTGTCGAGAGATTCTAACAAGCTTAAGGGAGAAATGCGTCGTCCATTTTTCTCTCCCCGGGGCGCCATGTAAACGGGAAGTGGTATACAACTAGGAACTGGTTGAGCACTTGGTAGTCTAAAGAATTGTTCATTAAATTCCTCATTTAGATTCTCTATCGGGCATTTCCTGGTTAACATACGCCTCCTTTCACCTCTACTTATACCCTGAAAAAGAAAAAGTCCATTGAACCAAAGAAATACATTGGCAATTCTGAGAATAATTATTTGACTCGAGCAAGCTCAAATAGATAGTGACAATTCCGAAGAAACATCCAATTTATTCCAGTTTAGTAAAATAATTAACAGAATATCTCTCTGGTGTCGTTCAAAGAAATATTTCTTCAGCTCAATGACGTTTCTTTTTTTTCTCAGTTTTTCTCACTATTCTTCTCTGTGCCGGTGTTGAAACAATGGCGTATTTCATGGTGGGGAACATCTTATTTATTTCTTATCACATTTTCCTATGGTACGTTGAACGAAATGTCTACCACCGTTTTCTTTTTTCTTTTTTTCCTTTCATTTGATTCGATGTAATCATTTTTTTTTTACTCAATCTGACATTTCTTCGGATGTACTTGATTGCAGGATTTTCTTGTCGTAGTACATACTTCATTGAGTCAACCAACTTATTTTTTTTCCAGAGTATCAAGCGAAATTACCGATGATTTTCTTCGTTAAATTTCGTTTATTTGGGGGTTTGATCGTTCGATTATCGCTAGTTAAGTCTTTGAGTCCTAAGGGAAAGCTTTTGCAGCCTCGACTGCAGGTCCGCTGCAATCGCAGTTGCAGCAGCCCCCAGCTGGGCTGCGACTCGGCGACGCGTTAAAGTACCGCGAGAGTCTCTCCTAAGGCGAAGCTGCGTCGAGCCGACCGTCGACTTTGCCGTTGCAGCTGCAGCTGCAAGCCCAGAGATACGGATCCCTCGTTCCGCGATTCGCGGGCCGCCGCTTCGACTGTTTCCGCGCAACTACTTAATGCAAAGTAGTTCGCGAAAAACAGGTCAGCCATGGTGGATGTGTCACGGGGTGCACTTGGAACGCTGCACATGCAGGCCTTGCGCGCACTTCCGGTACGGTGGCTGCCACCGCGATCCCCGGAAGTTCTCGCCCCTTCCCGCACACCCCATGGCGCGACCCCCAAAAATCAAAAAATTTCGGAAAATTCCCACACACAGCGACTTCGATCCATTTTCAAACCCCCCCGAGAAAAGCGCTTTTCAATCCCGAACTAAATGAATATTGTACATATTGTTAATTAAAAATCGCAAATCCATAGAATTAATTGAAGTCGCGACGTAGGAGAAAGACGACGATGGATGTTAAATATATCGAAGTTCTGAATTTCGATATCACTCGTGGGATTAAAAGTTCCAGGAAGACCGCTGGATGGCTGAAATTGGAGTGTGGTTTTTTGGGAAAAAGTGTGAATTCTCCCGAGATGACTTTCTAATTACTTAGGGAATAATTAGATATATTCGATCAGGGCCGAACCGCGGATCAAAACGGGACGCGGGGTCGGTAGGGTTGCCTAGGGGAATTTTGGGTCTGGGCAAAGTTCGCCGATTTGATTTTTCAATTTTAAACTCCTGGGAACCCCGGACACACAATTGACTATGTAGGTCAGGTCGAAGCGAAGAGGCGCCAATAGGTCGCGGGGGTTGCTCGCGTGTCTGGGGGAACCAATGTCCCTAGGAATGGGACGCGCGAATCGCTCGGATTCTGAGGCGGCCTGCGGCTGGTAACTCGAATTCCTGGGAGACCAGTCGATCGATATATCGACGTATCGTGGATAGATCGATCGGAATCGTCGGATTGTCCGTGGGACGCATTCGGAACGTGCGTCGCGCCGACAAGAAGCACGCTGCCAATCGTCGTCATACTAAAAGTCCCTAGGACGGAAGTTCGACTGCGCTCGTCTTAAGCTGTTCGAAAATTTTCGGCATATACTTTCCAACTTCACACCCAATTGTGACATTAGAACTGTACTTCACCGTAGTACGAAAAAAAAAAGAAGAATGTATTTCAATTTTTACCTTGATTTGAATTTTTATTTCTTTTCATTTATTTTAAAATGTCGGGTTTTAGCGAATTCGAATGTATTATTCATGACGAATCATGTCTATCGCGATCTCGAGGAAACGAGGGAAACGCTTTCCTGGGGGAATTTTTTCCCTATCTTCTCATATTTTTTATTTTTCTTTTGAAATTCACGCCGTCTATCGCGACTTCGAATCCAACACTGTGTCAAGGGTCGCCGCCGACATGGGGCTATGGGGTGATACATAAATATGTATTTAGATGTTCCTGGCACCGGTCATTTTCGCAAAATGTACGTAAATTTATTCCGCAGCCGACCACCCCGCCGCCCCTCGCCCGGGAACTCACCCTCGTCGACGATTCGTTAAGAGGGCTGTTCTCGCCACCCCGGTACACATTCCCGACCCTTTTTCCCTAGTTCTAACCGATTGAATTCCCTAGGGAAAGACGATTACCGAATCCAGCTTAAAGGGGTTTCGGCTGTGCTTTCTGAAGGGCTAATCTCTCCGGGTGAGCTTTGATTGAAGAAGAAAAAGAAAAAATAATAAAGGAAGTGGAGAAAAAGAAAAATTACCGGGCTCTGAGTACTGCTTTTCAGTTTCCCCAGGGTAGGGAGAAAAAAGGTCTCGAGAACGTTAATCTCTCCAGGAAGAATTTCATTTCTCGGATACGCTCGCTTATCCGTCCAATTGTAAACGACTCCATTTCCTTGGAAAGTCCCGGAAAATTTTCTTAAACCCGGCTCGGCGGGGTTTTGGATGGGGATCAACGAACGAAGAGGTTCGTTTGGGTGCATTTCCCGAAAAACTGGCAATCTCTTGATGATTATATATTTTATTGTCTGCGGCATTTGGACCTTTTTTAAATATACGATTAGCCTCCTTGAGGGAAATTAAATGAAGCTGGAAAAATGTAGGGTTTGGGTGAAAAATTGTAAACGACTCCATTTCCTTGGAAAGTCCCGGAAAATTTTCTTAAACCCGGCTCGGCGGGGTTTTGGATGGGGATCAACGAATGGGTGCATTTCCCGAAAAACTGGCAATCTCTTGATGATTATATATTTTACTGTCTGCGGTATTTGGACCTTTTTTAAATATATGATTAGCCCCCTTGAGGGAAATTAAATGAAGCTGGAAAAATGTAGGGTTTGGGTGAAAAAGAGCGAGGTTGGCGTTTTAGTCGGGAAGAATTCGACTTTGAGCTCGGAGAGCAAGTTCGTTTTGATTTTCCGCGAAGGGGTTGTAAAAAGTAACCAGGGGTCGGACCGGAAGCAATTCCCAGGGCCGAGATTCCCGGTTAGGAATCAGGTGGTGTCCCGTTCCTTAAATTATGCATCTCGAGTAAATTATTAAGGGCCGTTCATTTGCCGGGCTCACTCGACGACCGCAACGTCGCCGCCTGGATTTATTCGTTCGCAAGCCGGCACTGTAGCTGCACTCGGGGTAGCTGCAGCTGCAGCTGCAGCCCCGAAGGTTTTTGCCATCGAAGCGACCCGCGAGACGCAACTGCGTACTTCCCCTTCCCACCAAGGAAGAAGTTAATAACTCAGCCGGAAAAGCGACGAGAAATGCGACACGTCCCCCCCCGCCCTCGAGAAATATCCACGTTTTTCGGAAAATTCATAATCCCGCTTTTTCTCTTGCAGAGTCCGAGGCCAGCTGGGAGGAATGGTGGACCTACGACGGAATCTCCGGTGAGCGATGAACCGTTCTTTCTTTCTTCTTTTCTTTCTTTTTTCTTCTTTTTCTTTAATCATAATTTCCACATAAGAGATGCACGTAACCTTCTCATTCGTCGACGCCGGAATAAGTATCGAGGTCGCCTTTTCCCCCGAATACCCTTAATCTAAAGTTACGAGGCCGCCTGGCTTAGATGAATTTCTTAATTTTACGTATCTCCGTAGTTTTCGCTAAACAAAGAAAAAAAAAATCCAAGCCCGAGCCCGAGTGGCTCCAGGTTTGAAGTTTAGTATAGTTATGCCGAGCCATGCGAAGCAGCTGACACCCTCGTGCTTAGTTCTCGGAGTTGCCTCACCGGCCCTCCAAATTTCCTTTAGGAGTTCCTCAATTCTTACTTTTGAGGGAGAGGCTCTCGGCATTTTCTCGATCGCTCATTCGTAGGGACAATAAATGCGGATAGTTCGGAACGGGCCTTGGGGCGAAAGGGGCGACGTGTACCGACTTTTCGCCGGGGATTGGGAGTCGCTGCTTATTACGAGGGAGGTTTCGCCAGGGTCGGATTTTTAGGGTTCGCTGGGTTTCATATCGCGGGCAGATGGCCCGATTCGTTTTACAACCAATAAGCGGCGAAACCGGGTCCTCGAGGATCGGGTCGCCGTATCGGGAACTGCCGCTCCGCCGGCCCTAGGGAATTTTCGGCGCCCCGGTCAGGTTGGCGCGCCTGTCAGCGGATATCGCCCCGGGAACCCGGGGAAAAAGGGAAGTTGTCGGCTGAGCGCGAGTCCGAGAGTTTGCCGTGTAACCCGGATTATAACCCGCCGACCCTGTTAGTTCATTGTCTAGGGACATATCCGGGAGGTGGCAGCACTGACGAGGGAGATAACGCCGTTTCGAGCGTCCCCCTTTAGCGTTAAAAGTCCCCCAGGAGGGCGGCGCAAACTTTTCCGCCGGAGAAACCTCCCCGACTTTTATTTCGTTGGCTCCACTGTTTGTCACTAGGAAAGTTACCGAACTCCAGGCGAATCACCGCTGAGGAATTCCGCGGGATTTCGAAGGAGCGTGACTCACGGCTCGGGATTAAAATGAAGATGGGCGCCGAAGGGACCGTATTAATTCAACTACGGGCTTCGGGAGCCGTCATTAAGAATATCTCGGCAATTGCGGAGGGTGGTAAAAATACAGGGAGGATATGGTTCCCCTGGTTTAGCGGTCTCGGGGGTTGGCAGCCCCGAAGGAACTAGGGTGAAGTGGGACGGCCGTAGTTAAACTCACCCGTCGGGAAGTCCGCGGAATTAAAGAAGCGGAATAAACATGCAAATGGCCGGGGTCACTTTCCATCTTTATCACTTCGCGCTGAATACAAGTGTGCCAACTTAAGGCGCCCAGCTGAAACGGTCCGACTGGATTTTTTAAGTCCCGCCACTCGGACCGCGGACGGAGGGGGGAGGGCAGGGTTGGAGGGGGGGCAATTTCGAATCCCGGCACTCCCGTCGCCATCTTGACCTAATTACCAAACTCACCGAGAGCCGCGCTCTCGAGATTCCGGGGAAAATGGCGCCCGACAAATTGCTGAACGAATAGACGCCGAGCAGCCATTTTATTCTAATTTGTCCGCCGCGACGGCTAATAAGGACGGAAGGAATATTGTCCCAGCGCTCGTCGCAAAAATGGACGCCGGAAAGTATCCAAAGAACTCTGACTATACGGGACATTGAATTCTAGAATTGCGTAAACAGTTAGAAAATGGCGGTCGAATTATTTTTTAGGCAGTTACTAAAATTAACCTCTTTAATTTACGTAGTCGTTGGGAAAAGCTACATTTTCGTAAATAGTTGAAATGAATCGAAACACGGCGATGCGCAGGATCCGCCATATTGGTTACTTGTTGAGCTCGCCTAGAACCATGTTGGTGTTATTCTAATTTGTCTGCCATGGCGGCTAATAACAACAGAAGGAATATTGTCCGCGGGTTCCCTGATAAAGCAGCGGCCGGGAGGCGTCCAATTATCTCGCTTTTATACAGGTGTTCATATCGGATATTAATAATGGAATTTGACGCCCGAAATGTGGGGGATGAAGATGGCCGATTAATTGGGCCGCAAAGAGGCAAAGGAAAGCCATTTTATTTCAATTTATTTGTCATAACGAATAATACCGACGGCAGCAATATTATCTTACCGGCGGTGGGGAAAATGGCGGGCAGCGAGAGTTCATCGCTCCAATTTTTTTTTTTTTTTTCCGTATGTACGGAATTAAATCCCAATCGTATCCGACAACCGATATAGCGGCTTATCAATTTTAAACGAACGTTGCAAGCACAATGCTCAACAGAGAACCGCTGAATTGATTTTGGACAGACGGTATTTCCTCAGTTAAACGTACAATTTGTTTCTATTTATACCTTCTCATTTCTTCTGTAAATGGAATTAAACGGGAACTGAAAAATTGCAATTTTCGAGGAGCGCCACTTCCGAGCATCGATTCGAATAAATCGATCGGTATTTCCATTACAACGCGTTCAGAGTTGAGGAAATAAAGACGTAAATGGTATGAGATATGATTTATTTGATAGTACAAGGCATATTACAAATATAGAACGTATATGCATATTAAGCAATCGGTGCCGTTCACTCCTTAATGTATTTGGCGCGAAACTCTGCCGAGTTTCTCGATATAAACCATACAAGAAAATACGATACCTCCGGGAGATCCACACTGCTGAACCGCTAGCGGGCAAATGAGCAACGCGACATTTGGCGCCTCCTTTTATACCTTTACCCCCACTCCCACCCCACCCGTTCCACTCCGAGTCAACCCCTTCTTTACCTGTCCATACGTAACTCATATATTTCCAAGTTTACCATTCTCTTTTTTCTCTCCTACATATATCCTGGGAGTAGTGAAACACTTTTCAACGTTAATTTACATCTTTTTCATGTTTAAAACGGGCTAAATAGTAAAGGAATGATATATTTCGATGTCAATGTTTATTTTATGTATTATGCTTGTTAACATAACGCGGTCTGGGTTATCTCGCGCGGAGATTAATCGGGCGTAAAATAACCTCATAACGCGCGTAGAAATAACGCAGGTTGGCTGCACCAGCGGAATGTACTTCGCCTTCGTTAGGGCATTAAAAATCCCCCTAGAAATTCCAAGTCTCGTGTTATTTCCCCTAGAATAACCGTACGGTCCGGTTAGCTAGTACAGGGCCGTAACAGAATTGGCGAACGGGCGCAGGAAGAGAGGCGAGTGTCGGTCGGGGCGCGGGGCGCGGAGATTAAATGAAATTATTTAAATGCTGTAATTTAACATCCTGCCTGCCGGTGGCCGGGCGACGGTCAGTGCTTTCCAGGTGTCGGACATGCATGTATGCATAGAATATGTTTCCGGAAAACCATCCTCCGCGGACTCGTGCAAACGCACCTACGGATGGCCGCGAGCAAACAAGCCGAATCCCGCTCAAACAACCAAATCTCCCTGTACACCCACTCCCGGAAATCAACATGGACATTTCTCCCGAATTCCAGCCAACCGTTGTGATTTAGCCCGTTCCAGGTCTTTGACTAATAAACGTAACGTTTGAAATCGTCCGAAATATTTTACGCCAAAGGGTAGACAAATGGATAGATAGAATAAAAAAAAAGAGATAACGTTGAATTTTTAAAATTTCTTCAATTTTACCCGATTAGTAGCTCTGGTTTGGATGAGTTGTAATCGCTTGCAAGCGGGGTTTTATTTGCGATAATTATGGATTTGTTCACGCTCGAGCGCGGTTAGTTTCCGTCGCTCCTAGAGAATCACGGCAATACGTGTTGTATTATTCGCTGCGATAAACGCATTTCCAACTGTGGAAACCTGCCACCTTCCACGGAGCAATTGGTGAAATTATTTAAACGTGCCGAAACATTTGTGTAATAACTTTTTAATAAACATTATTTATAATAACGATTCGTGAGTGGCGGCGAAAAGAAAGGTTCTTTAAAACCACCTGAAAAAGCCCCTCGGCCAGTACTTCAATATTCGTTGCCGCGTGATGAAAATTGAAAAAAAAAGGGATATAGATATATCAAATTTGATTTTGCTGAAAATGTCACTGGACATTTCGGAGTTTGTTCGCGTTCAGGCGCGATCCCATTTCATTCCGTAAAGTGTATTCGCTATTCGTCACGCTGGCCTACAAACCCATTATCTCGGCCAGATGCAATTTTTCAAATTAAACAATTTGATCGGGCGAGGGATATCGGGGGGGAAATTTCGAGATATTCGGCGCTGCATACTGATTCAAGGCTCGCTAACTTTTGTCACTAGTTTCAGGGTTGGCATGTTTATTTTCCGGGGTGGACGTCGCGACGGCACCGTCGAGATTTTACTCACATTTGGACGTGATTCGATTTCGTTGCTCGCGGTGCAACCGTATGATGTGCGTTGCGCTATTCGAGGTCGAGCGCATTACTGGACTACAGAAGCAATTACCTTAGTTAATTAACGAATTTACAACTGCGACATCCGGCCTGGTCGCGCGTAAATCTGAGGGCGGTTCCGGCGAATCCGCTCGGATTGCCCACGGTTGGCAACCTGGGACGAGGGCGTCGACAACGTCGTTATCGCAATCGATAACGGCGACGCCTTGCGGATTGCACCCGTAAATTTGTCGAGCGATCGGCTCGAAACGACGCGCGCCTCCTTGCGAAAACTTCTTCGCCGACCGGCGCCATTTTGCGACGTCAAATTCGAACTTTCGGTTGATTTCTACCCTCCTTGTCAATTGGCACCATTTTGCGATGATGGAATTTGACCTCCCGTTTGATTTTTTTTTTTCTTTCGACGACCGACGATACTTTGTGGGATTGTAATTTGAATTTTCATGTAATTCCTTCCTTGGCGACTGGCGCCATTTTGCGACGTCAAATTCGAACTTTCAGTTGATTTCTACCCTTCTTGTCAATTGGCACCATTTTGCGACGTCGAAATTTGAATTTCTGTTTGATTTTTCTTTTCCTTCGCTGGCTAG